GCTGCCCCAGCCCAGCTCTCTCAGCCTCGCTCCAGAGCAGAGCGGCTCCAGCCCTCGCAGCCGCTCTACAGCCTCCTCTGGACTCGTTCAAGCAGCTCCACGTCCCTCTTGCAGTAACATGTGCCCAGTAACATCCTCATGTCCCGAGCCGGTGGTACCCAGGTGTGTGTAACGATGCTCTCACTTGCTTCTCCGCAGATCTCCGGCCTCTGCCCGATGTAGCCATGACTGGGACCTGTACCCGGGAGTGCACAGAGTTCGGCCACTCCGATACCTGCTGGATGCCCGGCCAGTCCTCCCCCAGCCGCAGGCCCAAGAACGCCCTCAAACTCTCCACTTTTGTGCCTTACCAAGACAGAGGGAGTCAAGAGCAAGTCGGGAATGGCAGCCCCAGACTCTCAGAAGAGCGCAGCACCAAAATGGCCAACCTCCGCCTGCTCCCCACGTACAGTGCCTTCTCCAGTAGTAGCCATGAGCCCTGCAAGGACTCTCCCATGGAGGAAATTCCTCTCACCCAGACCTCGGACTTCCAGCCAGCCACCACCCCCTCGTCCCAGACCACCAAGAGGGAGATCTACCTGTGAGGCTGGGCGTGAGGGACAGGGAGCAGACGTGCTTCTGAGGCCAGTGTCCCGAGGAACATTTTAACCTTCAATGCTTTATTGCTCTGGTCTCCAGGCAGTGGGCTCTGTGGACAGCAGGGCAGGGAGAGGCAGGGATGAGAGGAGCGCCTTTTTAACCCGTCCTTTCCCGGGGCCAGGGGTGGGTGGGAAGGATGGAAGCATCCGAAAGCCCATTTCCAAGCACTTGTGGGTGCTTGTCTCTGAACTGCTGCGTCACCAGGGGGGGCTGGGCAGGCTCCTGGTGCAGAGGGCATGGCTGGGGAGAAAGGCTTAAGTACCAAAGGTCCATGCAGAGCTGGTGAGTTCCTGGGGCATAGGATGAGGGGTGTCCCCACACACGGGGAGCGAGCTGCCTGTCTCTTTGCTGTAGACTCCTGTAAATACGAAGCTTAGGAATGACATTCAAGTCCTGCCTGATCGAAACTTTTTATTGTCCTTGAAACAAAAGACATTTAAACAAAAACAAAAAAATACAGAAAAAAAGAAAAAAAAAAAAAAAGGAAAGAAAAAGAAACCAGAAAAAAACAGGGAGCAAATTCCAGCTTTGAATGGTTTGCTGCGTGGAAGAGCCCGTGGGAGCGCAGCGTCGGCCCCACCGTCGTGT